CATTTACTGAGGGCAGTGTGGTCTCATAAATAGACCAAAAATGAGGCCAAATGTTGTTTTCGTTCTCAAAAATTTGTGCTGACTTTGCCTTGAAGTTCATCTTATTAGTTTTCTACAAACATGGAAATAATAAAAGCTGTGTAAAGCTTCTCACACTGCCCTACATTGCAGACATTGATTTTAATATAATCAAATACCAAAAGCTCAAAGGAAAGCTTCTTAAACGCTTCTTTTTCTTATCTTAGCAAAAAATATGAATTTGCTTTTGCTCCTAATCGCTTAGCAATTTATTACAGACTGCTAAAAATTGCTCTAAATCCCAGTGATCCTTCAAACCTTAGAAAAGTCAGAAGTACCTTATGAAGCTTATTTAGCTCGAAATGCTCTTCGACAGCTCTAAAAAATGTTATTTTCCTTTACAGGGATATCTCAGGCAAAACTAAATGACTGATTTCATCTGATCTTTATAACATTCAGTTGTTTGTTTCTGAGCTCTTGAAGCACAGTCCTCTAACATCAATGCCAAAGTTTTTTTCTAAAGTAGTGCCATTTTCAAAATACTTGTTATTGAGACAAGTTGGGTACTTGCAAATTCAAAGCGCTGGCATGTGTTTTTTTTAATCTATTTTTAGAAGCATGTGGGAGCAGCAGCAGCATTTTCCTCCTGGCTGCTCCTGCAACCCTTACAATCCAGTGTAGCTTTTTCCTCACCTTTCTCACAGAAGCTTTTACGTACTTGTCACCATTCTCTCCCTCAGCTTGGTTTCTTTTTGCACCTCACCACGTGTATACTTGACATTCCTCTGTTTCCGACACGCCACCTTTCCTCCACTTCCCCTCCTTTGACAGCTTTGGCAGCAGCCCCACAGAGCTGCACGTTTAGTTGCGAGGATGCTTCAGACTTTCTGCCCTGTGGCATGGTTCAGGCTTAAGGCCTGCAAGTTCAACCGGCCTTAAGACTACACGAGCGCTCTCACGCGTTTCCTCTCTGAAAGAGAGTGGAAGTCTCTTGTTTCCTTTCTTTTTCTGGCACTCGGCCTGCAGGCATCTCATGGGTTGGGGGAAAGGATTCAGGGCTCTGAAAGGCAGAATATTGTCAGCCAACTTTTCTGGCCATACAAATGTGTCATCATTGGGCCTGTAGGCCTTGATCTGTTTGTTCTTACATTCATTATCACACGAGTCATAAAGTATAAAGCTTTTTAATGAGAAGTTCAATCATCTTCTTTAGCTTGACCTTTTAAGTTTTAACAGTTTTTTATTAGGTTTTCAGTTTTAAATTAAGGCATATTGTAGTGTAATAGGATCTAGGCAGCTATCTAAATTGAAAAATGTGCGATAAATTAAATTATCTATGGGTCCCTTAAAGGCACAGTGTGTAGGATTTGTTGTTTTCAGTGACATCTAGTGGTTGAGTGGTTGAATCATCCTCCCTGGTCCTCCCCCCACCCCCACCCCCGCTTCCAAACGCAAAGGAGTTGCTACGGTGTCTCTCAGGTGTCAAAAACCTTTGATAATTCCAACCGCGATGTCTACAAGCAGCTTCAGGGCTAGTGATGTTTCAAGTGGTAAGATTATGAGCTTTAATAAGTAAAACTACAATGACAGAAAACAAATATTACATTTATAGTATTACAACTAAAACCGTTTTTGACGCCGCCACCGCAGTTTGTCCTTCATGAGCCTTCGTAGACAAGATGACGGTGCAAGATGGCGGCTGCCTGTGTGGCGACCCGCGACCATGGAGATATAAACAGCTTTTTATAAGGTAAAAATAATAAAACAAGGTCTTTGTCTGAAATGATGACATGTTTTTTTTATTATTGTCATTAGTGATTATCTCAATTTCTGCTAAAAGAATTGACAAAATCCTACACATTAAAGGAAATGTTCAAAATATAAACCTAAAGAATGTTTTGAAGGTCCATGCACTGTTTGGTAATTTGTTTTTCGTTTCATAAACTGATATTGAAATACAAAAAAATGGATGGATATTTTATTTAAATCTTATACAACAATAACAGAAAAATGGTACGTCTTTTTATTTTTGTCAAACCAAGAGTTTAGCACCTTGGCAATGCTGTCCTGTGGAACCTGCTATGGCTTCTATTTCCTCTAGTTAGCTAGCATTTGTTTATTGCGGCAGCACAAATGCATTCATATTTTTAACAAAAATTTGATGTCACAGGCACTTTAAGGCATAAAGAACGATATCTACTGCAGTTATATTCGACAACGTGAAAACCCAAACCTCTTCATGGAGGGTCGGTTCCAAAATGTTTGTAATTTGCTTCGGCCCGTTGCCATTGTTCATACAGAGGTAATACTGTCCATTTCTTTTTTTTGTGAGTCTAGCTTTAGCAAATAAGCTCAATGTGGAATCTAACATTGTATAAAACTATGCCTACATATTGAAGATATACATTAGTCTGACCTTTTTAAAATGTTTACCAGGAAATTACTGTGTTTTTATAATTTCCCCAAATGCAGCTTAGTCTGAGATGACTTCTTTGTTGATTTTATGTCATTAATTAGAGTTTTACCCATCTGTTAATATTTAAACGCTGTGGGGATCATTTATATACCTCCAGGACAAAGTAGTGGACATGGTATTTTGAAACAAAGACTTAAATTTATGTGGGTGCCTCAAGAAAAAGTGAACTAAGCTTATTAAAAAAGTTTGTTTTGTATCAGCTAAACAGCCCAGTTGGAGGAACAGGGAGGCCGTGTGATTGATTTAATGCTCTGACTTGGCTCTGTATGATGAGTTCTAGGACTTGTTTGGCACTAAAATCAATCTTATGCGCTTCGTATGAGATGCAGGATAAAGTTAGAAATATGCTAATGGAGCCGGGTTATACAAGCTGCTGTTTTTTTCTTCCCCTCCTTTTTTTCATCTGAAGTTGTTTGGCAGTGTAGAGCCAAAAACAGAAGAAAAAACATAGAGTCAAGATGTTACATATTTTGGTTGTGAAATCATGTGTGAGGATTGTAGTTTATCAGACTAATGGTGATCCCCCCACCCAGCAGCTGATGTTATACAGACTATATCCCTCAGAGGAAGCAATAATAGTGCTTTTAGATTCGCAGCATCGGGCCGCCCTGTGACGACCTCTTCTTCTCGTAGCTGATGTGGAGGGTCTCCTCACGCAGCACTTCTATCAGCCACTTCACACTAAAATAAATACAAAAAAAAAATTAAAAAAAAGCAGCTCAGCGTCATCATGATCACATGCGCCTGCTATTTGGAACACTTGAGATGAGAATYGGAAAGATACTAACAGTTTGCACCATATGTACTTCAGCCTGTGTTTACCATTTTCTCCCCTGCTGCTGCTGCGTGAGGAGGATGAACCAGCGTGTTGACTCGCATTAGCATTAAATTGTCTCGATGTGAATCATTGTCTGGTGGAGAGCAATTGTGATTCTCTGCCACAGTCCTATAAATCTCATCTTAGGGTTAATTGGCTTAAAAGTCTCCAAGGTTTTGCTAAAAATTCTCACTGATTTTATATTTCTTACAATTGTTGGCTTATATTTCAGACCACCATAAGCGTTACCCAGCTGTTCCCAAACCCCCTAGAAGTAACCATAATAAAGGTCTAAAATGAAACTTGAGAGCTAAGAGGATTGTAGCTTCTGCAGGGGTAATGAATTCTGTCCCTCTGATCAGTTTCTTAAAATGTTAAAATTGCTTATGCAATCTTTGTGCAAACCTTGCCCGGACGCCTCCGTATGTAAAAATCGGGATGGGAAGGATTTTACGTTGTGCAAAAACATAGTGCATGTTAAAAAGAATTCAAAGTGATGCAAGCATGCAGTTAATTTGTAAAAATTCTGACAAATTTCCCCCCAATAATGTCATTTGTTTGTGTTTAGTTTACTGCTTAGTAGAGGTCAAACCTTCATTCTTCAGTTTACTTTTCTGTGACAGATCTATAAACCAGCAAACTTTTAACTACTTTTGAGCCTAGTTAGTGCCAGTTAAGGTATAATTGGCTCTAACATTTTTCTAGTTCTTGCTAAAAGCAACTAAATATTTTTATAATGCAAAGCTGTGCAAATACTCAGGCTAAAACTTTATCATTGTTGTGACTACATTTTTCCAAGGTAAATCAAGTATTTTCAGACTCTGTTTTTTTCTTTTCCAATTAGTTTTTGGATTGGAYTCTATATAATTTTTTTGTGTTGCAGCTTAATGTTAATTTTAAACATTAAATTAATGTTAGTTTAGTGTGTGTACGTGCTCCTTTTTTAAAAGAACCTTTTCTTGCATAATCACCTACCTTGTCAGGCCTGGTATTCCTTTTAGGACCAAATTTCGGGTTTCAGGATTGGTTTATTGTCATATGCAGGTTAACATAAGTCAACAATGCAATGAAATTCTTAGGATTAGGAAAACCATTCAACCTGCTGTAAAAAACAAGAAGTAATAGAAGCAAAAAATAGAAATTAAATATAATATTTACAAAGAAAAAGTGAAATATGTTGAGCAATATAATAAAATGTAATGGTGCAGGTAGGGTGAGTAAAGTATGAGCACTGCACAGTGTTAGATCATGATTGTATTGCACATGGCATATACTGCACATAACATATATTGCACAGGTAGTGTAGCAGATTATTGCACAGGTAATAAGTAACACAAGTCAGTCACATGCTGCAGCAGCATKAACTTATTTATTGTCACAAATGAGGGTTGCTGCAGTATTGTGTAGAGTTCAATAATCTGACAGCTTGTCGTAACTGTTTCTGAGTCCAGTCTTAATACAGTGAAACACCATTTTTTAAAATTTAAATTTAAATTTAGGACTAAGTTGTGAGTTTAGTTCACGTTAGGGTTAGGCATCTATTGGTTAGGGTTCAGCTGCAGAAGAAATTGGAAGTCAATACAATGCTCCACTAAGAATAGAAATATGAAGAGTTTGTGGGTCTGTGCGTGTGAGGGCAAGCGCCAAATGAATTTCTTTAACCTTTTGACTTAGGTAGTGTTAAATTATTCACAGCTGCTTTAAATGTATTTACACGGTTTTTGCTCTTTTTAAAGCTTCCTAGTGAAAGTGGTTAAGCACCAATAGGTGGCGATGTGGCATTATTTTAACACACCTTTGTCACTTCTGTGAGTCTAAATGCTTTTTATGCTTTCATTTGTCCACTATTTCCTTTACCTCAAAATATGCTCGTTTTAGAAGTGCAGATATATTTTTGTATTTGTTTGAAAAATTTACCTTTTTAACGGCAAAAACCAATTTACTGAGCAGCTTGTTTGCTAAGCCACATTTYCCATCTGCTCAAGTCTTAACACATGTTGAAATGTCATCCCCACCTCTGCCTTCATCTGCTGCATACTAACAGATATAACAGCCTCCCGCGCTACTTTGAAGAGACCTTTTCCTCTCAGAAGACTCCTTGGTTTGTGGAACACAGATACTCCTCAACAATGGTTCATTAGAGAAAGATTTTTGGCTGGATGGCTTTAGTAAGACAGCAATATCCAAATACATCACTTGATGTATTTGTAAAAAYTTGAATTTTTAACATCAGCTTGATAGAATTTGTTAGCCAAAATGAAAAGGAATTGGCATATTTCAGAATGTGACGCGTATCAGCATCATTCCAACTAATACTTGGATTTATTGTGAAGGAGATGTTTTAACAAATGAGTTCAGCGTGACCTTGTTTGTGCAAAGCTACAGTTCAATGAGGTTTCACTGTTCCTCTGTGTTCTCCTGCTTTTTCCATCTTCTACGAAGCTCACGTCAAGCCTAACAGGGGGTCTCGTGCTCATTTCACAACGCCTGCCTATTTGATAAGCAGGACACAAGCTCTTCATATAATTACAATGTCAGAGCATATATGGATCGAACTGGTAAAAAAGGACAATGGTAGCTGGGGGAACTTTATAAAGCACAGCAGGAACAAAGGTTGCAGAGACCCCTCTTAAAGAAACAAGATTTTTAGTTGAGGAGGATTGTGAATGAAATCACACTGAGAAAGAAAGACACTTTTTAAAAAGGTTTTGGCCATTTGATACTTTCAATACAGGCACCATGATTGTTATTCTTGCTCCATCCTCACAGGAAGATTACAGTGTCCAAGCTGTTTCTGTGGAGCGACATCTAGGAGGAACATCAAAATGTTCTTTTGCTCTCCGTTTTTATTATCATGTGTTATATTTTTACTCTGCCTTTTCCCCCCCCCTTCTCCGTAGGTTTCCAAAAAGGTCGCTGATCTCATTCTGGAGAAACAGCCTGCTTATGTCAAGGTACGATTTCTGCTTCAATTCCAGGCTTAAAACCGTCCTTAGAAGTACACTACCTGGTTGCTGAATAAAAGAAGAATAAAAACAAAACGAAATGAAAGCAATATTCTATTAAATCTGCTTTATTTGCTTTTGTTATTGTTTCAAAGTTTGAGTTTACTGCATTGATTTCTGTCCAGACTTGTTTTTCTATTTTTTTAGCCTAATCCCAGTGTATAAATTCTCTTGATTAATTCTGACTTTCTGTCATTTTTAACACACCTCTGTCATTAAGGAAGATTGATGGAAACCCTATTTGTACATGACAATACTTCTGACCTCATTTCTTTTGTTTATATACACAACAGCTAAACTAAGATCTGATTAATTAAAGAAAAAAAAAGAAAACAATGCAAAAGTTTGACATCTCATCACTATCATTTCAGTTTTCCTCATACATTTCTTTAAAAGTGATAGTTCACCTCTTACCTTCCAGGTTTAAAGAGTGTTGTGCAGATGGTTTTATTAGCGTGTTAGTCTTCCTGTTTTTGTTTGCTTGAGGCCAACCAATAATTTGACCTTTCAAAAACAGAGTAACAGTGTTTCCAGTGTTTATTCAGGAATGACATTCTATTCATTGCATTGATTATGGTTGAGTAACTAGCAGCCAACTGAAACATGAAAATTCCTGCAGTTCTTTTCTATTGGCGTGCCTGTTTGCTTAGTTAAATCCAGATGGAGACTTTTTATTTTTTTATAAAATTTTTTTTTGCTGGGCAGTGCATATCAGCTGCTAAATTTAATTACGAAGCATATTAGTTATGTTTGCTGTGTTTGATAATTGCTTCTTTTTCTTCTCTCTCTCAACTCATATCAATTCTTGTTCTGTTTTTTTTTTTTAAATTAGATAATTTTGATGCTATCAGATTGAACTTTGGGAGCTATGGTTATAGGATATTGCCCACCATCCACGGATGAGGGGAATCGAGGGGAAGTAGTCATGTTTTTATTCATAAAACCAGTCAGGATGTGAATTAAAATAGTTTGTCAAACCAAACTTGTGGTTTTAGGCAACAAGCTAAACTTGCAACTGTTTAAGAAATAAAGTGTAAATAAATTAATCTCATCCATGAGACCAAATATATATTTG